TGGTGGTGGTGGTGGTGGTGGCGGCGGAGCGCCGACGAGGGTGGTGGCCTGCAGGCGCAATGTTTGCCGGAGGTTCTTGTGAGGGGGAGGGGCCATCTCTAACGTGACCGCGCCGCGTCCGGCTGCTTTCAATGGCGCGTGACACGTTGAAGCCTCGAGCAACGGCTTTTAAACCTAGCGTATTGTGCGAAAGTTTCCATTGTGAGCGGATATGTAGCCTCGAGGCCGTGCTATTAATCCCTTTGGCAGAGCAGCAAATGTATAGATTTACTCCCGCTTCTCTCCTCTATTATCATTTTAAAATCGTATTGAGCCCGATTTTGTGATGACACACCCCGAAATGTAATTATGAATTTGGAAGTAGTCTCCATTTTAATCACTTCTGTTGGTGATGTAGTTTAGTACTCCAAAAATGATTTCATTGCGTAAATGCACCCCTTACTTCAAAAATAAAATATGAAAAATAAGAATTGGATACTTCACACTTTCATCGAACTTGTAGAAGAACATGAAACTTATACTTTCTTGTGACGAGGGGGAATGAAGAAAATCTATTTTTTATCTTCTGTATATTACATATAAGTTGTAAATATCGTATCAATATTGGCATCGCAATGATGTAACTTGAACCGGGACGTTTTTGGTTATTAAGGGTCACATATATATCAGGGGGGTTGAGTATCGGATGTCCATTACTGTGTCATGAGTCAAGTAGTTGATCATTACCAAAATGTTGCAATTTTCAAGTGGCCACAACTGGATCAAAACCGGGATTCGGAAATTCATTAATAAAAATAGAACGAAATGAAATTTGGCCTATGTTAAGCACGGGATCCCTTGACAGAGAAGGATACTAATCACCATTGGATTTTGAATTGAATGCAATAGCCCATTTTGAAGAAGTCTACAAAAATGTGCTTAACTATGACCCCTATTTATGCCTTTTAATGTAATTATACCATTTTATTATTCAAATTATTTTATTAGTCAAAAATGTAATGGGCGTTGAATTATGTTTTTCGGTCTCTTTGTGACAAAAATTGTTAAACAATGTGAATAATTTTGTCAATTACAATGAAGAATGCTGTTCCTATATTCGGATCTCAAACGAATAATTGCATATTTGGTGCAACAGAAGATCAAATTAAAAGCGATATACGAAATCTCGCAAGAATTTTAAGTATTTGTTCCTACCAATACTATCGCAATGAAAATAAAACAACACACGTTGTTTTAGATTCGAATAAATCTGCCACATGCATATTACATTATTCAACTCTTAAAACTAAATATGATTTGAAATTAGTTGAAAGCATTAGTTGAGAGAAGACCGATCGGGGCTCTGCAGTGGATAGGGAATGAGAAGGCACCAGAGAAGGGGGCGAAAGTGAGAGAGTAGACAGAAAACGCTTAGTTTCGCCAGCCGCCGTAATGCAGCGCCACTGGCTGCGCCGACAGCTGTGCCCGGCGCCGCGAGAGGAAATTTCTGACGCTGAGTTAACGGGACTCGGTTGAATTATTTGCATGAGAACCGCATATCAATTTCATCGGCTCTCGCGTATATTCAATAATATTGTAACCGTTTAATTAAGATAATGATTAATCATATTTAATAACAACTCTATTGCATATTGCTCGGTCACAGAATTCCTAACGATCCAGAAGGCAATATAACGTCACTCATTAAACATGCATTAGTTCTTGATCTTTCTAGGCCAACGATAAAATTACAGCTGTAACCACACATACGTATCCGCAGAACGTGCCATATTTCCGCTCTATTCTAGAACCAGTAAAATGTTTAATATCACTTTGCCAAAGAGCTAAAGGAAAAGTTACTTCCCACAGAACAGCGTATGTTAAAATTACATTATTTGTAAGAATATGGCAAACTCGTACTCACAGTCATCTTATATATCTTCGATGAATATTAAGTACATTACTTTTCAGATATGCTCCCTCTACTCATACAATTTTTTGTTCTAAATATCATATTTTCTTATATGACACCTAATAGAAGGTTGCATTAGTACATTGCGATTAATCCATCGTTTCTTAAATATAATATTCCCTTAAATATTATGGCTTGGACGCGGAGTTTCAATACTTCATGATCCTAATGCTACCTGATGCGAGATCAATACTCAGAACCTCCATTGGCAATGATAAGTAATACGACGGCATCATAACACCATTATCAATAACAGTTAACATTAAAATGGAAACATGTTGGGGTGTACCAGAGAATAATTGCATAAAAATATATGAGTACTTACATAGATAACCCAATCCTTTGGGCTATGGGCATTCGTGCCGCAGATGTATAATCGGCCTCCATCTCCCATTGGCTGAATGACGCGGATGTGATTCCGGCAATCGAAATGCTGAAACAAAAAATACAACGGTCAGAAAATCAAAGGCAGGAGAAATAAGATAACAATTACCAGAAGAGTACTGCATATTCAAGCAATTAATTCACCGCGATACATTTTCGGAATTGAAAATAAAAAGAAGTAGATATGCGTAACTCATCGTTAGTATTGCACGTGCGGACACGTTCGGAATAAGCGAATTCCAAGAATTCCGACAGAAGTCCTGAAATTGTTACATTCCTTCCACCGTTTCACAAAAGCCAGCGAGAACGTACAGTCCGGGACTCGGTCATATGAAATACTCTCCGCGCGCCTCGATACAGCGCGAGACGTCAAAGCAAGAGGGGCGCGCGGCGAAAAGCGCTTCCTCCGCACGCAGATCGAGTCGATCTGCGAGAGGTGGAACTTTCCGGGCGGGCGGGGCGGGGCGGGGACGGGGCGGGGCGGGCCGGGCGGGCGGGGCGGGGTGGAGCAGATGAGTAGGTGGCGGAGCACGCGTGGAGCGGGTGGCGAGGGCGGGGGAGAGGGAGGGGAAGCGGGGCGGAGCAGAGCGAACGGGGAGTTATACAAGGCGAAGCGGAACGGGGCGAAGTGTAGCGAGGAATGAGCAAACGAACGTAAAAGGAATGGGACAATAATGTGCGATGTATGTAAATAGAAGAGATAGAAATGTCGCTGATGATAATAAACTTGGAAACATAGACGAGAGCAATGACTTATCAGCTATTGATACTGCAATCAGCAGCAGAAAAATGACATCACACTCGATACCAATACCCGATTTTCACGATTACATTTGACGAACGGTTTATATTATTAAGGGGTTTTAGAGATTGCGCGCATGCGGACAGCGACTTGAGACGACAAAACCCTTCTGCGCATGTGTGCGTTCGCTAAAACTTAAGAAACCGTTCGTCAAAAAGGAAGTATTCAAATCGGATCCTAGTGAATGTCATATTACTTGAGCCGCGCGATCACGTTCATGTGCACAAGTGCTCGTCGTGCCCTGAGCGGTCGAGGGACGGCGGGCAGTGGGCGGGGCCGTGCGGACGTTCGCCTGGCGCGTCGCTGCAACGCGAGGCAACGGGCGTTCAGTCTGGACAAAGGGCGCGCTCCTCGCCAGGCGGCGCCGTGCCGTGCCGTACCGTGCCGCGCCGCGCCGAGCGAAAATCCGGGTGTAATATCCAGAAGTTTCTATGGACACGACGGCGGATAATTCCGGGAGGCGGGACGCCGGTGTGGGCCGGAGGGGCGGCGGGCGCCTGAGGGAGGCGCGGAGCCCAACGCGTCGGGGGAAAGACGACACGCGGGGAATAATGGCGGCGAAATTGTTGCCAAGTGCCGATCCCCCCGTCGGCGCTGCCGCTGCGGCGTAGCACAGTGGGCCGAACTGTCGGCGACAGCGCGAAAGCCACAAATTTCCTGACATTTCCGAATAACTGTAATGAAAAAAATACCTCACATGAAATAAGTGTGTATCGTTTTCATCAACGTATCTTCGGCGAATTTTCAAGATTTGTTTTCTCGCTGGGAGATGTCCGTCTGTCACATAACTAATTTTGCGCATTTACATACAAATGAAGACATCAAAATATTCTGTCTTTTTCCTCTCATCACCTTCGCGAAAAATATTTCTTTTACAAATTTATCGTCTCTACAGCATTCCACGAATGGCAAAGTCTGCAACTGAGAACTGCATAACTCTATTCCCCTCAATTAATAGTTCCATCTCGTAAAGAATTGATGATTTCCCGCTATAACTTCAAAAATAAGCATTTTCAACGACAGGAATTCTCCGTTACGTTTCAGCCCAACGCCAGCTTTTTGACCGTTATCGGACGAGTGTGTCGGCGCGTCGCGTTGGAGGGGAAAGGGGGAGAGGAACGGGGAAGTGAGGTGCGAGGGCAGGAGGCGCTGAGACGCAGTCGCGTGCAACTATTGAGGGCGCCGCATATTTAGGGGCGCACTTAGCGCCGGGGGTTTAATTTACGGCGGCGGGGGTGAAGCGAGCCGGAGGCGTGCGAGCCGGCGGGTGAGCAAGCGCGCGGGGGTGAAGCACGGCGGCGGCTTCCCAGAAGGGAGAGGAAATGGGGGGTTGCGGGGGAGGGGAGGAGACGTCGATGAGCAGCGAGCTGGATGTCGGTGAGAGGCGGCGACAATGTTCACCGTGAAAGACGAGGAGAAGTTCCTAGAGACGGTAAGCCTCGGGGCCGAGCTGTGGAAGGTACGAAGGAAAGTCACAGAAACAGAAAAATTAGATAAGAGAGAAGTTCCAGGAACACGACTGTTGTGATGTCTAAAGTGTTTCGGACGAGGCGGTTGGAATAGGGAAGGTTGGAGTAATAGGGAATGTGAGAGTTTTCGGGTTATGGGTCATAGAAGTTGAATGGAAAATAAGCGAAGAAGGTTATGCGGTCATCCCACACCGAATAGTCGAGAGAGAATATCAAAAACCGACAAGGAGAGACATGACAGGGAGTGGAAGTGAGTGTAGCTAACAAAGACAATGTTAAGAAACGACGTTCACGCGAAGGGAGTCAGAGAGCCGAAGCACCCCCGGGACTGACAACGAACACCGTAGTGGTCACAGCTCACTCGCGGGCTGCAGGTCACGTTAGTAAGCGTAGAGGTTAGACGCGACAAGCGAGCAACACAGTGCCAGAAGACGGAGAATGAAGCAGCGAACTAATGGCCTGCTGCAGCCGAGAAACACGGATACGTCGGCGAAAGCGCGTGGCTGAAGTGAGAGGAGGGGCGGGGGCGGGAGCGCAGTGGATCGCGGAAGGCGCTCGGTCGGCGACATCGCGCGTCGCCGCGGGCGAGCGGAGTCGAGTTTTACGACGTCCTTGCGCCGTTGCCTGGGGGACCGCGTTTATGATTACTGTCGCTGCGACAACGCCTCTCAGGCCCCCATTCCCTTTCCCAACGGTAGATGCCGCTAGGGCAGGTGCAAAGCACGAGTGGTAGACGCGACATTCCTCGAATGTGGAACGTTGCAGTTTCAAAGGAAATCGGGAGCGAGGATCAGTACGAGACCACAGGAATTCGCAATTAAGAGAGGATTTAGAAAGATAAAATATATGTTCTCGCGATTTCCAGGTAAATCTACGTGGAAAAATTTGTCACTGGGAGTAATTATTGAAAACATATATCTGAAATACACCGAGGTAGAACGATGTACGTATTTATTATTATAATCAAATTGTTTTGGAAAAAGTATTAGGCTATGTTATTACAATCAGATGATATACGAGTTAAACCCATAAACATACTTTTAAATTCATTGACGCATTATTTGTGTAAGTCTGAACAGTTTACATTATTAGCCCAGTTCGTATCCTTTAGTGTAGATCTTTTCAAATAAATACTTTCCATTCTAAAAAGATAATTCTTAGTGCCGGATAAACGAGAACATCATCGAGAAACTCAACTACCAAATGTTTGAGGAATAAAATCTGAAAAAAAAGGTGTCTCTAATGAAAAAAATCGCGATAACCATACTCTTTCTCCATTTGAAAATTATCTATAACCGGTAAGAGACGTCATTTATTACAGACAGCGAAATTCCTAACAGAAATGCATATCGGAATTGCACGGCGGGAAACGAATATTAACGGAGACAAAATGAACTCGCAAAATATGATAAATCGATAAGCACGATAGCCAATCCGCGCGAAAAGTGTAAAATCAGCCCCAACTCCGCGGCGAGGAGCGGCCCATCCATTATCGTTTGGGCCGACGTATTCGTTACGCCGCCGCCGCCGCCGGCCCGCGCGCTGTATGCATTCCGCGGGGAGTGCGTTTGCGCGAGCGGAGCGCCGGCGGCGCGGAGGACAGAGCAGCGGGGACGCAAACAGCGAAAGGACGGGGAGAGTGGAAAGGGTGGAGAGAGCTAAGAGAGCGGAAAGACCGGAACGGGAGAAGAGAAAAAAAGAGCGCAGAGACGAAAGGGAGGGACGATGCCGATGTGCGGGCGGGGTGGGGCCGGGGTGATCTTTTGTGGGGCGCGGTGTGTGGGACGGGGAAGATGTGAGATTGGTTGAGTGTGAGGGGCGGGGCGGCCGGGGAGGGGAGAACCGACGAAGCAGGGCGTGGCGGGGGAGCGGATCCGACAAGGCGTCGAGAGCGAACAGGATAAGGTCGGTCTAGTCGAATTGGAAGAATAGAGTAAAAAGTGAGAGAGTAAGATATCGAGCACAAGACACATAATGAGTGACAAGTGTGAATGAGGGAACATAATGAGTGCCGAGTGTAATAAAAATGATAACGGATGTCAGAAATTAAATATAGAGTGGAATCAAAATGATTTAAGAAAGGAAAAGACGGCCATGACATGTGAACGAAGGAGGACAGTTGAAAACGCTTATGAAGAAAAAAAAATCCACTAAGTGATGTATAACAAAGTTGACAAATGCGAATGCATAAAAGAAAATAGTAGTAACTCACAAAAAAGAGAGACGGTGGCAAGACGGAAGTAAAAGCATGCTTGTGAAAGAGGTGCATGTGGAATGTCGATAATGGGATTACGCAAATCTGGTACGTTCTCGAAAGCTACGGGATTTCGAGAAGAAAGAGAAATGAGATGGGGGAGGAGCCCTTCCACGGAGATCGAGGCAGTGACTACACTTCAGGAAATAGGTAAATGGAGAAGCACAATCTGATCCTAACGAAGAGCAGGGAGAGAGGGAGAGAAAATCTGGTCAGACTTGATAAAGCAGCAGTAGCAGCGAAGACGGGAGTAAAGTTGTGCAAAATTAGAACAACTACGTTTGGTCAGAAGTAGACGATGTATGACACAAACTATTTATATGGTCGCGGACCAGAGACAACGGATGCCTCACGGGCGAAGTGGATAAGGTGAATCGAGAAACGAAAGGCTGGAAGAGTGCGTTGATAAAGTAGAGGCGACGGACGAGAGGTGAGAGACGAAAGGCGAGAATCGAGATGGTTCAAGCGAGGGGCAGGAGGTGTGCAGGTCGGATTCCGCGTAGCCGGAATTCCATTAATGCGTT